CCTCTCAGCTGCACAACAAAGTCAGTTATCTTGACTGGTGTGATGTCTGTAATCTACCAGATCTAATTCCACATCAGTAGTCAATTTGTACTAATCCCTGAGGAGATTAGGCACTCCTCTGGGTAGGCAGGTATAATACAGTTCCCTGCTTAATCCATTTCAGAATTGTAGACCAGCATTATGTTCAGGCCATCCTCTTACATGAGCCACCATGCTACGAAATTCTCTATTCAGCAACCTGTTGCTTCCCTTGCTTGATCATCCCGATTCTTGCATTTGCCTTCCTTGCCTCGGTGGGATCTTCAAACCGATTCCGTAGCTCTTGCATGGAGGCATCCACATCATGGAGCTCAGGGCCTACCTCATCATATAAGGACACCAACCACTTTGCTGCATCCCCTTCCAGGTTCGCAGAAATAGCATTCACATATGATCCATCATTGGGGTGATTACCTCAATATCTTTCTAAATAATTCCACATCTGGATCAGAAAATAAACCAACTTTTCTGGTCAGCCATCAAACATGACTTTAATAGGAGGCTGTTGATCCTCTCGCACCAGTACATATCCAGGTGGTAGGTTAGCATCTGGTGGTGCTGCCTAAGCTCCTCCCTTTTCAGCAGTATTTGGTGACTATCAAATCAGCTTCCTGGTTTTTGATGAGCCCATCAATGAGTTTGCCTCTCCCATGTGGGTTAAAACCAACAACTGCAGGAGGGGATTTCCCCCTCCCCCGTTGTCCTCTTGTCCATTTTTCAACGCTTCTTGAAATCCCCTTTAGGATTTTCATCCATGGGATCTTTCCTAGGTTCCGAGTTTGTTAGTCAGCTTTTTTGAAGTTTAAGACACTGAATGGATTGTTTTCTGTTGCTAGTGTTTGTATTATATTAAATTCTAGTATGACATGATCACTTTCACCCAAGGTTCCGGCCACTTCAACTCCCTCTATCACTTCTTCTCTATTTGTAAGGATTAAGTCCAGTATAGCTTTACTTCTAGTTCCCATCTCCACTTTTGGGTGACAAAATTGTCGGCTAGGTTGGTTAGGAGTCTGTTTGATCTCCCGCTCGTTGCAGAGTTGTCTCCCAGTTGATATCTGGATAGTTGAAGTCTCCCATTACTACTGTGGTATGCTTCCTGCATACATTTGTTAACTGGTTGGCAAAGAGTTCATCTATTTCTTCTGATTGGTTGGGTGGCCTGTAATATAAATCTATGGCTATGTCACTTTTTTTTCTTTTATATTGACTCATATACATTCTGGAGAGATTTTATCTTTGATCATATGCATTTCTGTAGATATGTAGTGTCCTAACATATAGTACAACTCCCCCTCCTTTTTGTAGACCTGTTTCTTTTGAACAATTTGTATCCATCCATCAGTACATTCCATTCATGGGTTCGTCCCACCAGGTTTCTGTAATGCCAACTATGGCATACCCTCCCTCATGTACTATTGCTTCTAGTTTGCCGTTTGTTCCCTAAGCTTTGAGTATTTGTATATAAGCATTTAAGACTTTTATGCCTGTCCATGGATATGCTTCCTGCATCTCCTGATTGTTGTTTGAGGTTTTTTCTCTCTCTCATCATTGCCTACCTCATTGATTGATTTGTTTTCTTGGGATTTGTGATTGGTTTTATGTTCTAGAGATTCTAGAGATTGGACACCCTTCACCCTTGATTTTAAACCCCTCCTGATGAGTTGAGCCAGTCTTTTTCCAAGTATATTTTCCCCTGTTTTAAGTATTTTATGAAATACTTGGGAGTATCTTTCAATCATGATATAAAAAAGCAAAGGAAAAGCAATATTGAGCTTATTCATTTATAACCTGAACAGATGCTACAATTCTGATGTCATACCGTGTAGTAAGACTATTTATTTCATTTAAATTTATTGACTGTCCACATCCAGTGAACTCTGGACTGCAGATGTAACTAAGAGACTTAAAACCAGCTAAAATATTAAATAAACAGCCATTTGAACTAATATGCTTTAGTGACTAAATCCATAATTGATTGACCAAGTTAACAGGCTTTACACAGGTTGACTTGGGGTAAAAAATGAAGGTAGCTTGAGTTATGACCACTCATTCAGTGACTGTACAAATTTATGACATTCCATAAATTTGGTAACTGACTCACACTTATGACAGATGCAGTGTTCTGCAGTTACATGATTGCCATTTGCGATCTTCCCTGCTAGTTTCCCACAAGCAAAGTGAATGGAAAAGCTGGCAGGGAGGGTGTTTTTTTTCCCTCCTCTCAAGGAGTCCCAATATGGAGAACAAGATCTCAGGGATATCATACTCCTTACTTTTTAAAAAAATTGAAGGGGTTTTCATACTTCTAAACATACTTCATATGTTTATGAAATGGGAATATTATCCTAGTCCAGCTATAATGTACTACAATATGCAACAGACTTCTTACATTATTAATAAGAGTCAGTTGACTAGACCCATTTACCTTCATTCTTTTTAAAAGCTGTACTGTCACAAACCTACAGTTTCATCCCATTTTGTTCAAGTAATAATCCAACAATCTGCATACTAAGGTTAAATTTTCACTCAAATTCTATTGAAGTAAATGAATAATTCAGGTAGAATTTTCTGGAGCTATAAAGCAAATAACATAAAACCAGTCCTTTGATGACAAACAAAACCAGGTAGAGTGGAAGGCGATTTAACAGTACATTTTAAATACAGATTATACTGAGGTGCAAGAAAAGGATTATAGATTTGAAAATGTATCAAAATGGTGGGTTTTTTTAAAGAATTGCAATGAACACTAATTTATTTCACAATTTGAATTATTCATCTGTAACATATTAAAATAGAAAATACCTACTAAATTCCACATAGAAAATATGACTACGTTATAAAATATACTGAAAATATGTTACAATATTAACATTAATATTTGGCATAATTTTATGGATATATCAGGAAAACATATATATAAAATAGAGAAGATAACCTGAGTGTATCCCAGAAAAACAGCTAAACATGACAAACCATTATAGAATAGATCCAGGAACACAAAAGGTAACCTTGGAAATATATTATTATACAAGTATCATTAATTGTTCTGGATTGAAATTGCCCTGTAAATTAATATGCTTTTTGATCAAAATTCTTAGTGAGTTTCATTATTTCTCTGTCTCTAAGAGTAAAAATAAGGTGAACTAGACTCAATGACAGCAGGGCAGTATTTTTTTTTAAATGGGGTCTTCCAAATTAGTATTCTGTAACCAACAGAATGAACAAATCATAATTATACCCATTAAAGCTGCACATCCAATACAGTTAAATGTACAAGCCTATTGAAACCTTGTAAACTTGCAGGGATGCATTAAAAGTGTCCTAATTACAATGGCAATTACTGATCCAGAAAAAAAGGTGTTAGTAGTACTATCAAGATATACATTTGTGAGAGCAGTTGCATTTTATAACAAAAATATGCTCTGCCCTGAATGCTAGTTTTTGCTATTATCCAATAATTTCCAATAATCTGAGATTTTTAAAATAATAAAGGAATATTCTGAAAATGTAACAAAAATCTCTCTGTGCAGAAATGTTTACTCATTTGCATAATGACAAATAAGAAATCCTTATTTATGATATGCTTTATGTTTTGCAGGGGTGGGAAACGATAGCCCTTTTATAACATGTGAACTTCAAATCCCAGAATTCCTAGGAGTTGAAGTCCACAAGTCATAAAGGGGCCATCGTTCCCCACCTCTGTTTTACAGTATTTTGCAGTGTGACAAAAACATTCAGAACTGATTTTAAGACTTGCTTTGAACCATATATCTACATTTTGTCTGTTTGACAAGAACTAAAAAAAAAAGATTGCACATTAATAAATGTGGGTAGCTGATATTTATCAGCTTCCATTAATTTTCATGAATTTTGAGCCTAATTAAGTGAAAGGAATATTTGAGAAATATTCACATTTTAAAATGTTATACTTGTTTTTTATATACATACATACACACACACACACACACACACACACACACACACACGCAGGTCTTGGCGTATTCAAATCTTTTCCCATGTAAGATTTCCCTCAATCTTACACGGGAAAAGACCAGAATACGCCAAGACCTGCATACCTGTATCCGTATGTATGTATGTATGTATGTATGTATGTATGTATGTATGTATGTATATATACACAGTATATATATATATATATATATATATATATATATATATATATATATATATATATATATATATATATATATATATATATATATATATATATATATAATATATATATATATATATATATATATATATATATATATATATATATATATATATATATATATACACATACATACATACATACATACACATACAGTATATATATATACAGTATATATATATATACAGTGTATATATATATATATATATATATATATATATATATATATATATATATATATATATATATATATATATATATATAAATTCCAACTGTAGTAATCATAATTTATTATATTCTACCAGTTATCCCAAGATTACTCAAAAATGATTTCAGTAATACTGTGTCAGGAAATTGAGATCTAAGTGTGACTGTTATTCTGTAGACACATTTTCACTAAAAAGAATACTGAAATCATAGTACTGTATATAGTACCTTTCTAAATGAAACAAGCTACAAGAATCTTATAAGAATATATTTGGAACTATGGCAACCACTTCTGGGTAATAGGGTTATACTGACAATAGGACTATATTGACTGCAAATAGTTGAGGGTAAAATAGTTGCAATATTTCTGGAAGATATGAATAAGAATTAGGAATGAGTTCTTCAGTTTTAAACTGTACATTCATGGGCCATGATGGTATATGGGCATCAGGATATTGTGATATAGGAAATTCTAGTCTGCTATTCTCCAATTACATTTCAAAGGAAATGTTACATTTTATGCACAAAATTAAGCAATTTATCTTTTATAGCTTCTGCATGACAGAAATAAAGAGAAAATTATTTTCACTTTGTAAGTTACTATAATGTCCAGTGGAAACACTCTTATTACCTCGTATATTTAATTGTAATAAATTAACAAAATCATATGTGCTGATTAAAGGCAAAGATCACATTATTCCTTTTTTATTTTTTAAGAAAACCTATATAGATCTCACTTTTGGCGGATAAGGTTCTTTGCCTTTTTACAGCACAATTGTATAGATGTGACATTATATTTAGCTTCCTGGAGCACACAACAGAAAGAAGCAAACAATAATGACTAAGATAAAGACTAGGAAAAGTGTGAGTTGTTGGAACCAGACACAACGGTCAATCTGTTCTTGAAGTCTTTTATTAGCTTGTAGTAGTTGCCTTAACTGGAAAAAAGGGGGAAAAATAGTAGATGTTATCAACAAAGAACTGTTTTTCCCACTTGATTTTGCTACAATTTACCAACATACAATACAATTAGGATATAAATAGATAGAAACAATTATAATTTTTTAAAAAATCACCAAATCACACACGTAAACCAATTTATAAAAGAAACAAATGTATTTCAGTCATATGTATCAAAAGTAGTATTTTGAGGAAAGGCACAATCTTATGATTTAATAGTTTGACTATATAAAAACAAACTAGTTTGGAAGCATGGATGATATACTGATTTTGATTTTGCATATCAGAATTATTTATTCTTCATTTTAAAAGAAAAAAATCTACAAAATCAAATACAATAGAAAAAAACAGTTTTAAGGGTTCCTCATGTAAACATTGCTAAAAACAAAACTTTTTAAAGTATGGTTCTTCTAAGTTTCTATTGCTTTATCTAAGAAGTAATGTTACAGGATTTAGTTAGTACAAAGAAAGAAAGCCTACATGAAAGTCTTGAATTTCATAATAAAGACCAGTATATGTGTGAATGAAAAAGCATGTTTTGAACGTTCAATTGTCTTAGAAGGAATCTGTTATTTTCAGAAGAAAATAAATTTCAAGGTGAACAGGGAAGGCAATTTTTTTTAATATAAATGTATGTTTAAGAATGAAATTTTATGGAAATATAATACCAAATTATGGAAATTAGTTAAGAACGAAGCTGAGAATCTAAGAGTTGTATTTGTGTGCATGTAATAGTACTGGAAAGCAGCTGATATTCTATTATGTCAGCACTTTGGAAATGTCAACAACTTTTTGGAGCCTGCCTTTTCATGAGATTTTGGTGGGTGGGGGAATAGACTAAAAAATCCCATTTTTTCAGGGCTTTTTTTCTCATAGAACGCTCAGAACGGAGTTCCGGCACCTTTTTTGGATGGAACCTTGTAGGGTAGGCAAGGCGGGTTGTATGACATGTGTGAGTTCCGGCACCTTTTTTTTTTTTTTTTACAAAAAAAGCACTGATTTTTTTATTTCCCTAACTATAATGTACTTAAGGAATGGTGGCATAAAAATTGAAAGAAAAGTAATAACAGTCATACATGTTACCTGAAAGTGTAAATCTTCATTAGTTTTTGAAGGACTGTTAAAGGCATTTTCATTTATAATTAAAGAAGAATTCTTGCTACTTTCTACAACATGGCATCTTAACCTGAAACAGAAAGCAATTATTTTGAGTTCAGTTCTGCAGAATTATCGTTGTTTTCTTCCCTGGGTTTCCATTTTTTAATTTTTTTTATCCTGATGTTTTTCGTATTTCATAATGTATTTTTTATGTTCCCCCTTTACTCTGTGGCATTAAAATCAAAGAGAAGAACATCCAGAAAATCAGTGCATCAACCAAATGACACTGAACGAGGATGTGGAGCTTTCTTGGAACTGTGTTGTAGACTGGAGATAGATGTCGTATCCCTCCTCCTTTGTTGAGAAAGGGCTGTTCAATTTTGACATAGATGGTCTTTTTGACCCCTCTTTCAAACCAGTGGTCCCCTCTCTGTCCAAAATGTGAACTTTACTGTCTTTGAAAGAGTGGCCTTTATCTTTTAAATGCAGATGGACTGCTGAATCTTGTTCTGATGGGTTTGTTCTCCTATATTGTGCCATGTGTTTATGAAGTGGTTGTTTTGTTTCCCCAATGTACAGATCTGCACATGGCTCACTGCATTGTACTGCACATACCACGTTGCTCAGTTTGTGTCTGGGTGTTTTATCCTTGAGGTGGACAAGCTGGACCTCTGCCTGACCACTTCCTATTTTAAATACAGTGAAGGTTTCTACAGACAAATACACAGCTGTGCCATGGGCTCACCTGTGTCCCCCAGTCGCCAATCTCTACATAGAAGAGGTAGGAACCAAAGCCCTAAACTCCTTTACAGGCTCAAGATCAAAACACAGGAATTGGAAGTATTTATCAAACATATCAACTTGGTGGACAGATACATCAAATTCACACATGAAGATGTTAAGGAAAATAGTCTAGCCTTCCTGGACTATGCAGTATACATTAAGGAAGACAGAAGCCTTAACATTGAAATTTACAGAAAACCTACACACATAGATCAATATTTACATTTTCATTCTCACCATCCACTGCAACTCAAAATGGGAGTTACCAGAACCCTACACCACCAAGCTGAAGGCCCACCTACCAGCAAAGATGGAAAAGAGAAAGAACTGAAACACATCAAGGAAGCTCTAAGAACTTGTGGCTATCCCAAGTGGGCCTTCATCAAATCTCAAAAAAGACCCAGCAGGAACTCCTCCATAACAGACAAGGAAGAAAACAATAAATGAAGCAATGTAGTCATTCCATATCGGAAAAGCTCAGGAGGATCTTCAGCCAACACAACATATGTACACATTTCAAACCCAAGAATACACTAAGGCAGAAGCTTGTTCACTCCAAGGATAAAACACCCAAACACAAACTGAGCAACGTGGTATATGCAATACAATGCAGTGAGCCATGTGCAGATCTGTACATTGGGGAAACAAAACAACCACTTCATAAACACATGATACAACATAGGAGAACAAACCCATCAGGACAAGATTCAGCAATCCATCTGCATTTAAAAGACAAAAGCCACTCTTTCAAAGATAGCAAAGTCCACATTTTGGACAGAAAGGACCGCTGGTTTGAAAGAGGGGCCAAAGAGTCCATCTATGTCAAAATAGAATAGCCTGACGACCAGGGCTTTTTTTCTGCCTCTTTTCCACCGCCTTGAGTTTGGACCGGTGCGGGAGTAGTTTGGGATCCTGGCGGGGAAATCTCTTGTCCTTACGTTCATTTTAAACCCTCCCCGATAAAGGCCACACCCTCCCCGATAAAGGCCACGCCGGCCGGGCCTTTTTCCACGGCCTTGCGCCAAGGCGGCGCAAGGGGCTGAAAAAAAGCCCTGCTGACGACACAGATAAGCAATTTACACATATTATGTTTTATGCCAAACTAGCTTTGCAATATTTAGCCAACTTTGGCTGGTCTCAGAAGGTAATCCAGCCTGGTTAATACTTGAATAACAAACCACCAGGAAGCTTAAGTTTGACTGAAAAGAAAATATTCTGGAAGAAGGCATATATTATAATAATGTCAATTTGAAAGTCAATATAAAATGTTTACCTATGCTCCATCACTTTGTTTCTAGGAATTTCCTTCCAAAATTGAGATAGTTCCTGTGCCCCTAGTGCAGAGCACTGTTCCATTTCTGCTGCCATAATTAGAAAACGGTCTTGCAAACAAGCCACACAACCTATTCAACCAATAGACAGTTTAGTAAAAATTATTGTACTTCATTTAGATATAGTCAATAGCCTGTAGCAGGAAATATTACATTTTAATAGATGTGTACATAATTAATTTACAACAAATGTAGCACAGCCAATACCGAACACAAATGTGCAACTCCCAAATTTCACAAAACTCTTGAGAAGAGTAGAAGATGAAAAGGGAAAAAAATGTAGTCTTTATGAACTCTAAACTTGACAATGTATTTAGCCAGGTGCAAAACTACAGAAAGAATAGTCTGAGCTGAAAGATCTGACAAGACTGATGGACAGTAAGATAACTTATATTCAAAATTTTTAAGTTAATTGAAATACCAATATTTTCAATGTAGAAATCTAATTAGAAGAAATATAGCAGAGGTTAAACTGGATTATTTTATTTATTTTGCTATTATAATGTCCTAAATAATTTTAAATCACTATGATACAATTATTTTATATTTTAAATTTATCAATGAGAAAGTCATATAAAATACCTTCATTTAAAATCAAGTTGCTGTAAATTTTAAAAATGAACAGGGCACATTTCCACACAAATATTTTATATTTGTATAGTAACTGGCAATGAAGGATATTTAAAAATATTAATCAGCATTAGCATAATTTAATTAAATTCTGTAGGGTACAACAACATTTAATTTTCTAAGCTTAATATTTTTCAAATTTAAAATTGTTTCAAATAGCTCATAACTTGAAATTGTATTGTAAATTTATAGTTTATTTTTATGAAATTGAAAAAACTTTGGATATATTTTAAGAATGGTATTAGAAGACAGTAATGGTAAGTAAAAAGACTGAGAATTTAGATTTGGTGGCTACTTTATTTCAAGAATATTATGACCAGTTTTGATGCTCTTTCTTCTCCCATCCAACATGGGGATAATTGAACTAAGTTATTTTAATCAAGGCA